CCCCAAAACCCCAAAACCCCAAAACCCCAAGAGATCTAGATAATTGAACTTATATCTTATAAAAAATATATTTAGATTAACAACGTTATTAACTTGCTATATATAGTACCAAGTTGGCTTTAGAATTTATAGATTTTTTTGTTCATAGTAAAAGATTGCTTTAATCAACACTTAAAGTTACCATTTAGCCACTCTTATTTGTTTTCATCTCTCCATCTAAAAAGCGCTGGGGGCTATGAGGGGTCTTTATTGACATAGTTTTTAATGAAGTTCTTATCAGAATTAGTTGTCGCGTTTCCAAATGATGCCTTGAAATTTTATTTTGATATCCATAGTTTTCTATTTTCAGCTTCTTTTTTCCTATAGATCTCTTCATCACATCCTATATAAGGAGATGCATTTCTTACACTAGGCTATTAAGCATTAGTAAATAGAATAAATTCTTACAATTTCCAAATTATATCTAGGCATTTTAGAAAATTCTTTAAACCTTGTAAACACTGATTTATTTGGGGTTTGATTAATAGATTGCTTCATGTCACTCCTTAAATCATTTGAAGATTAAGAACCTAATAAAAAAGGATTTCTTGAAGCTCTTTCATCTGGTAAAAATTCTAAACTCATTGTTGGATGCAAAATTTGTTTAATTTCATTTGGCTTCTTCCAGACAAACTAAGAATCTTCGATTAACCTTTCTTTGAATTCACTCTCAATCAAATAATCCTTAAGATGTTTATGTCTTTTTATTTTTCCTTCAAGAGTATGATGACTTTTTCGAGATTCTTAGGACTATTCTTTCCTGCTTTAATTTTTCGTTTTAATGTTTTCATCAATGCCTGCGGAATCTGAAGTTTCAATCTGCGAATATCTCAGATATGCTGATGAAGCTGGCCTAATGCTATTTTAACTGGCTCTCCCTATAAGATTTTCAGTTAAGCCATTATTTGACACTCCTCGATTATTTCTAGATATCTCAATAACTGATTATCTACGAGATTCAGGATTTTTATTATTTTATTATTCATTTATCTGATCTCTGAAAGTAACTCTTTGACTTTAGCCACCATTCTAAGAGCTCTTCATATCAGGTGATCTCATTAATATACTAGTCATTGGTCTTGAAGATTTGGCATTTGTCAACTGTTTTTTATTAAGCAATGTAGAATGATCAGTCTTAGTTGATTACAAAATTAGATTACGACTTTATATCATGGAGTTCACTAGCTCTGGATCTCTTTAACTTAATATCCTTTAACTTTCCTGATCAAATCCATAGTCTTATACCGAACCAATTTTTAGTCTTTCAGAAAAATTTTTCTCCTCTGTATGCAATGATTGCTGGCCCGCATTCTAATTATATCTTGTAGAATGTTATTGAATATTTTGCTGATTGAAATATTTATTGGAAGAGCCACTATTGGTGTTAATGTTACTTATCAATTTAAGTTTAAGCTTTGCATGCTGTTTATAATCAACATCACTAGATTTTACTGCTATACTATTCATATTAATTGAGTTATTTTCTACAACAACTGCTCCATTTCGTACTTTAGAAAAGCCTAGTCCAGAATGCTTGAACTCACTCGTAAAAACTTACTTCTTAACTCTTGCAGTTAAAGGTCTTGATTGTTCATCAGCTCTTTGCTGATTTAGATTATTAGTAGTTTGCTTTGTTACAGATCTGTTTAATAAATTTTGCTTAGCACCACTTTCTCCTCCATATAGCAAGTCATCTTAGTAATCATTAATAAAATCGTACCTGCTAAGTCTATTGAGTTAATTTATTGTGCTCATAGACTCAATCTTAGTGCTAGGATGCTACCTTTTTAAACTTTATATTCTCTAGATGGCTTTTGCTAAGGTTTGATCTATTTTTCCATTACTTTAAATCATTGAAAGTTTGATTGAGACAAAATTATTGAGTATTTACACTGACTCAGGATATTTTTTCTCAATTTAAAATTAAACAGCCAAAGTATTTTTGTGAATCGCCACTTAAGGACCTCTGTCACTCTCAGCTATTATCTCGTAGTTTCCTTCAACTTCGTCTAAGTTAGTTATGTTTACAGGATGTGGATCCCAGCTGTTTCTATTTTCAACTACAAATTTTTGTGGGATGTTTTGCATATAGGGGTGAGAAATAAACTATTTCTTGATTTCACATCTAATATCTGAGAGTTTTGAATAAAATAGAATTGGTTTATTGCTATTAAGCCCTTTTTCATGATATACTAGAACCTTTTTGATAAGCTCACCACTAATCTAGCCATTTTAAGTTGTCATTGCTCTAGAATAATGCAAGCCGACGTTCCCTATAGGCTTCCATTGAGACTCTCTCTACTCGTAATGATAATAATCTCCTGTAAGGTTGTCAAGAAATACTTGCTTAACACATTTGTCTAACAAATTATCAATTATAGTATGCGGATTGATATCTTTAATTTGATCAAGAGCTGTGCCTTTTTCTGATCCATTTATTACAAAAAGATCAGCGAAATTAGTTGCACAAAAATAAACAAGCATTTACATCCCCATGCCTGATGCAAACAAGCTTTTATTTGTTCTCTTGCACATCTTAAATAAGATGCCTATCTATAAATTGATAAAATTTAGTTGGTTTTCTAATTTTAATTAAAATAATTTTTGTAAAATCTTGGAAATTCGATGGAGGTTCAAGATAATTATAATAAAGCAGTTATATCATATGGAGATTGCAACTTACTTTAAAGTTTTTTCTTTGCCAAGGTAGATTAATTCCATCACCATCAATGAAAACAATATCAACATTATCAAATCTCTAGATCAATCAGCATAAAGTTGAATTAAATTATTTACTTTTTCTGCATCTGATTCTTGATAAATTGTTGTGGGCTCATATAAGTAATCATCTATTGTAGCTCTATCTCTGATTATATATTCAGGGCTATCTATCATCATTTGTTTTTGCTTTGAAAATACCTAATTTAGAATGATTAAGTTGATTTAGCTTGAAAATACCTCTTTAATGACTTAAATGAAAAGTTCCTATCTCTTTATACTCTAAGGAGTATTTTGATAACAATTTACGATGAGTATTTTCATATTTTAATTGCACTATTATATTTTAACATTATCTCTATAGTTTGATAAATTTGATGCCAGGGGTTTTGGGGTTTTGGGGTTTTGGGGTTTTGGGGTTTTGGGG